TTTAGGGTGTGGGGTTCAGGGTGTAGGGTTTGTGCTTCGGGCGGTTCTATGCTTCTGAGGACGTGGTCGATTCTGCGTTTGCGACGGCTGGTCGCTTCGCTTAGAGGCTATGTGTGGTGATGGCTCACTTTACACAGCCGATGTTGGCAACAACCGCCATGAAGTTCATAGTGTGTTATCAAAGAAACCCAAAGGCAGTAAAATACCATATAAACCTCCAGTACTAAACTCTAAGATGTTCGCTGCGAGGTTTTTGACCGCAGCCCATCCTTGTGCACAGTGGTGCCAAGAACGACCCCAGCCATTCAATTTGGCTTAAGGTGCATAATGTGCTTCAACTCCTTTTTTTCTTGATGGACTCTCCAGAAGAAGAGGGGCTCGTGACTTTGAGAAAGCAGCTGGGCAGCTGCATTGTGATGCGCCGCTTTCTGCACAGCTCGATCACTCTGGGAAATGAATTGAGGAATGTATATATATATATATATACATACACGTAGCTACTTATATTATATATATACATACATACATGCATAATGTATACTCACGTATAGATGTATAAGCTATATGTATACATCATAAACGTTCACCGAGACCCAAACAAAGCTCCCCCTTTTCACCCTCGCTCGTCTCACCTGCGTGATTCGGCCCTTCGGTCCCGCGCCCTGGTGTGCAAAGAGGCGGTGCTCTCATGAAAGGGTCATAGGGGACTTGGGTGGGGCCTTTAAGGGCCCCTTTAGAAGGAAGGCTTCCTAAGTTGGGTGCAGGGTTTACGGCTTTGGGGTTTAAAGGTTTAGGGTTACTGTGAGGGTTACTCTAGAATTCTGCAGGTTACTGTAAGGGTACCATAAGACCACCACGTGGGTTTGAGAAGGGGGTGCTGTAAGACACAACGGGGTTTGATCGTAAGACGGCGATGCAGGACGACAAAGTCACGCCCAGACATCAGTCAATGGCGGAGGTGCTGAAAGCTCTCAGCAGGCTTCCAAAGTTGCTCCCACCGGCACAGAGCCGTGCAGGCTTTGCAGGACCTGGAGGTGCACGAGTGGACGGTGCGAGCCTCATGCAAGGACAAACGCATAGGGACGCGAATGGCCTTGCCAGGCGACTGGCAAAGTTCCTGTGCAAAAGAAGGCAAGTGGGGGTCCCTAAACCCTAAACCCTAAACCGGGGGGAAGGGGCACAGATGCAGGACGAGCGCTTGCCGCAAGGTCAGAAATCTGCCTCCGCTAGCCATCGGATGATCTGCAGATTTCGTTCAGGCACCATGCTTCCGGTTTCTGCCACTAGAGCATGACGTAAGCCTGCATCTTCGAGATTTTGCTACTTGTCATGGCAAGCCCTGTTGACACATGTGCTTGGCCCTCGTCTCGTTGAAATTTCAAAAGGGCCGCTCCCAGCGTGACACATGCATCTTCCTTGAATGCTGCGCTGCCTTTATCCAACTCCTTCAGCCTTATGCCCTAAATCCCTAAATGCCCAAACCCTAAACCCCTAAACCCTGAATCTGTTGGTTTCTCCCCTCTTCTTTCGAAGTTTCGCTGCACGCTTTCGCCGTGGCAGGCGGAGCTTGAGCACATCGACAGCATGATGTCGGGTTTAGGGTTTATTTAGGGCTTAGGGCTTAAGGCTTAGGGTCTAGGGGTTTAGGGTTTAAGGTTTAGGGGTTGTCAGCCATGCATGGCTGGATGCGATCATCAGAAGCCGGTGCAAGACGGTATGTCCTGAGGACATTCTATGTCGTGCAGGCGAGATTCGTGCCGAGAATGGATGTTGCCAAGCCCATTGTTTCAGTCGAATTGCCATGTAATTCTGTGCGAACAGCTTTCTACCTGGATCTTGGCCTATCTTGTTTCACACACGTGTAGGGCGAAGAGAATGGCTCGGCATGTGTCGAAACAGATGCCTCGCGCCGTGGACCCGAAACGGCCAAGCTGCAGCATGTGGAGGTTTGAGAGTACTGATGCTTTGTCTGAAAATTTCCCTAAACCCCTAAACCCTAAACCCTAAACCCTAAACCCTAAGCCCTAAACCCTAAACCTAAACCCCTAAACCCCGCAAACCGCTTCCATTGGATCAAAACTCCGAGCACGTAGCTTCGACCGACGTCATGGAGGGCCAAGTCCGACCCTTGGATGACGTGCACTCTTGCCTTTAAGCCCTAACCTAAACCCTAAACCCTAAGCCCTAAACCCTAAACCCTAAACCCTAAACCCTAAACCCCTAAACCCGAAACCCAAAACCCAAAACCCTAAACCCTAAAGAAGTCGGAGGTCATACAGAAACCGGCTGCGTCGCTGAATATCTGGCCTCGAACTCGGCCTGGGAAACTCGAATCTCTCTGTTCCCGAGGCCTTGTTTCGGGTTAGGGTGTAAGGGTTTAGAGTTTAGGGTTTAGGGTTTCGGGCTTAGGGATTAGGGTTTAGGGTTTAGGGTTCAGGGTTTAGGGTTTAGGGCTTGGGGTTCCTCCCCATTGTCGCATTGCTGCTCAGGGCGATTGGGCAGGGCTTTGAGGGCACTGCATCCGACTGGACGGAGCCGCCTTCTGAGAGCAGCAAGAAGAAGCCATATCGACGCTAACCTGCAGTGTTTTTCCCGGTGTTTGCGTCAAGGTACGTGGTGTGGCTGGTTGGCTTCTTTGCACTGATCTGGCACCTGTGCTGCAAGGGTTTGCAGATGAACCCCTAAACTTGCCCTAAACCCCTAAACCCTAAACCAAAACCGTAAACCCCAAGCTTGATCAGACAAGGTTCATTTGGCAGAGAAACGTGCGAGCCCAAACTTCCAGCCGACATGTGAAGCTACGTGTTGCTTGCATGAATGCTGCACTGGATGGCAGCTGGCTGAGAAGCGCACACAGATGCAGGTGATGGCTCTGCCAGACATTCCAGCATCGGAACTTGGTGGAAAGGCCACCTTCCTCCCTTGTGTGAATGCGATTATGCTGCTCCGTCGCTGGACGTTGTCCGTAAGGCTGCGCAGGACTGATTCAAGATGAATGGTGACTTGGCTTCAATGATCGCAAATCCATGCCAGTCGATTTGTGAGTCTGCAGATGTGAGAAGTGCAATGGCAGGTCAGGTTCAACCAGGAGGTATGCCGTGGGCCGGGCAAGGCATCGCGGTGCTTGAGAGTGTGTTTCTGGACCTTGTGCTCTTCCGGTTCGTCTTGTCTTGCAATTGCTTTCTGCTGTGTTTCCGTGTGCGGATCGCTGCTTTGTCTCCCAGCCCCATCCACGATGCACTTCGTTGACTGCGACCCTGCTGTACGCACTCTGCATTGAAACCCGAATGCCTGTCCCCCAAGGGCTTCAAAGTCTTAAGCCAATGCAAAGTCTGATAGACTGGCATACAGACACATAAATACATGTATTATGTACATGTTTGTGTGTATGTATGTGGGTATGTACGTACGTAGTCAGGCAGGCAGGCAGGGTATGTAGGTAGGTAGGTGGGTATGTGTACCTCTTCATGATACATAAATAAATAAATAAGCAAATAAATAAATAAATAAATAAATATATATATATATACACACACACACATATATATATATATGTGTACGTGCATATGCGTAAATAGAGACATAATAGCTATATATATATACACATATATATATACACATATATATATATTATATTTATATTTACACACACGCGCACGTTCACGTTCATCTACATGATCCCCGTTCGGCCGGCCCGCTACCCTCTCCACCAATGCTTGGTGGACTCTTCTCCTCTCCCACCCCCGCTTGGTGTGGTGTGGCTTAAGGTCTTCGGTAGTGTCATCATGTTTGGTGAGCACCGTCTGTAGTGGTTGGTTTGGGTCTCGGGTTTGGGTCTGTTTGGGGGTCGTTGGTGTTGTGATAATGGTTGGTGGACTCTGGCGTGATTCAGGACTACGGTCTGCGAGGTCTTTCGCATTGTCATCATCATCGCCATCGTCGTCGTATCATCATCATTATATCATCACGTCATGGTAAGACTGTGGCGCTGTGGCGGGATCACGATTGTGCGAGGACGATCCATTCGGCGGGTGCGGTGGCTTGGGGGTTTTTCGGGCGTGGAGAGCAGGGAGGGGTCGGGAACCAGGACGAAAAGGTGTATAAAAATATGCATATGTATACGTATATGTATATGTTTATGTATATGTATGTGTATATACAAATATTTCTCTCTCTATATATATATATAGATACGGTAGGTGCACATACGCACCGCCTATGCATGCATATATATACATATATATATGCATAATTATGTATGTATGCAAATGTATGTATGTTTTTATGTAAGTATGTATGTATGTATGTATGTATGCATGCATGTATGTGTAAGTGTGTGCGTACATACATACATACACACCTACATGCATACATACATACCTACATACATACATGTATATAGATACATAAGTATGTATATATACATGTGTATGTAGATCTGTACGTATGTCTGCATGCATGTATGTAGGTGGGTGTATATGTGCACACGCATATACACCTATTCATATATATATATACATACATGTGTATATGTCCCCACATGTTTGGTTACATACACATGTACATAGACATATACATACACATATACTCATGCGTACATACGCATCTGTACACCCACATCCATCCATACACACATACATACATACATACATACATACATACCTTACATGCATACACACAGACAGACATACATGCATGCATACATACATACTTACAAATGCATGCATACATTCACACCATAGCATACCATGCCATGCCATGCGATGCCATGTCACACCAGACCAGACCATGCCCCACCATACCATACCATACCGTACCATACCATACCATACCATACCATCCATACCATCCATACATCCATGCATGCAGGCATACATGCATACATGCATACGTAAATGCATACATGCACACTTGTACGTATACATGCATCATGTATCATGTATCTTATGTCATAAGTCGAATCATTTACATAAAAATATATATATATATATACATATGTATGTATGTATGTATGTATGTATGTATGTATGTATCTACGCAGACACGCATGCCTGCATACATAAAGGATTGCGTGCACATATATGTGGACAGATATGCACACATATATACATACATGCAAACCCGTATGAAAGCAGACACACACACACATACACACACACACACGCATCTCTCCCTCTCTACATATATACATAATCATGCATACACACCATATGCACATACCTCTCTCTATACACACATAGACATACATGCATTCATGTGTACATATACATATGCATCTACATAGACTTTTGACATACCTACATGCATGCACGCATGCATAGAAGACATGCATACATGCATACGTACATACACAGGGAATAGATACACAGCGTGTGTATCTGCTTACAGACATACATGCGTACATATATATATATATGCATACATACATACTGACACACATACATACATGCATACATATGTAGATACTTACGTAAGTACGTGCGTACATGCATGCATTCATACATACACGCACACACGCACACACGCACACACACACACACGCACACACACACACACATGTAGATTTACCCGAACATCAACAGATACACTTGCATCTACACATACGCATGCATAGTTTTTTCTGTTTTCATAAGCGACGTGTGTTCTACCCCGCCCGACCGGGCACTGCCTTCTAGGGCCTTCATAGTAGGGCCCCTTAGTGCCTGAAAACCCTTGAACTTTAAGCCGAAACCCTAAACCCTAAACCGGGCCCTAAACTTTAAGCCTAAACCCTAAACCCAGCAACGGCCGAATTCCAGGATGGACCGGAGTTCCCCGGTGTGAGGGAGAGAGCAGTGCTGCAGTCGGGGCCAGGGTTGAATCGAAGCAGAGGCTGCGACAATAAACCCTTGCAGTTTAGGGTTCAAGGTTTAGGGTTTAGGGTTTAGCAGTTTAGGGTTCAAGGTTGGGTTTCTCGACATAACGTTTAGGCTTGAAGGGGAAAGGGTTGGCAGCAGCTTAACAACTGAAGCATCGGTCTGCCGGCGGAAGGGGTATCTTTGTTGTTATGGGTGCCGTAAAAGGGGACCCTAATCTAGAGAACTCAAGGGACCCTAAAAAAGAGAACTCCCCATAAAATGGCATGCAGGCAACTTCAATGCCTTCCCGCAAGCCATGATGGGCATCCAGCAGCCGCCCCTCCATGTCTTGTGCGAATGGTTTAGGTTTCGGGTTTTAGGATTTAGGGTTTTAG